TGCTTTTCTTTTTTTATTGGTCCTTATTTTGGTCAGGTGTTCCTCAGGGAGGGGGGGCAGGGTGGAGGGGAGGGGGGTGAGGTTGTTGGATCTCAGGTTGATATTAATGACTTCAGTGGAAGTGTCCAGCTGACAGTGGTGTGGGCCACATACAGTACCTCCATGGGTGGACCGCACCACTGAAGTCATGAACCGGTCCATTCACTGAACCGGTTCCCAAAATCGGTTGCTCATGGGACATTCACACAAAAGACGGTGGAGGTGGAGAAAAAAAAAGCTTGAGACGCCTGTATCGTGCCACTTGATCATTTTTTGGATCATCGCCTCATTCGTTCGTCAAACCTAACGTTTTTGGTGTGAACACTCCTCTAGAACTGTTAGTTAACATTACAGTGCAGCCTAACGGTTCTCCAGAACCAGGCCTTGGGCTCCAGACAGTGACGGTTCTGATGAGCCTTAAATTCTATTCAATAGTCTAGTAACATTTACCTCACCAAAGACACGTCCTGTCTGACTGTCAGCGCCATCTATGTGTCAACCATCTTTGACTCCAGCGTATTACTGAGGAGCGTTGTTAATAATTAGTCGATCAGTTCTGCTGTATCTGATGTCGACCTGTTTCTGCAGAAAAATCGTCAGAATGAAAAGTTCTGTCATATATTTGACTGTGAGAATCAATCAGGAGTCAGATGATCAGTGGTACCGATCAGTGGTACCGATCTGTGGTACCGATCAGTGGTACCGATCAGTGATACCGATCAGTGATAATAGCAGCAGCGTCAGTTCATTCTCATCAGTTCCCACCCCCAGCGTCTGTTCTTCTGTCAGTACTGGTACCTGGAGCAGCCTCTGATCCAGACAGTGCAGGAGGACCAGGAGAGGATCATCATATAATCAGCGAGGGGGTCCAAGGATCTGCTGCTGATTGGACGATCTCCTGTGTGGACATGAATAGATGGAATATGTTTATATTTTACTGTAACGATATAATAGTATATTTTATATTTTACTGTACCTACATTATAGTATATTTGACATTATACTGTAACTATATTATAGTATATTTTATATTTTACTGTAACTATATTATAGTATTTTTTACTGTACCTATTTTATAGTATATTTTCTACTGTAACTATATTATAGTATAGTTTATGTTATACTTTGTTTCATAATGGTCTGTCGTGTCACCAATAAAATCTGAGTGTGTATTGTGTTTTACTCACTTCTAATTTTTGCCATAACGGAGTATTGAATCCAGTGGTCTGCGTGTGTGTGTGTGTGTGACTGAACAAAGACAACAACATGACAAATTGTTGAAAAGAAGAATGGGAGAAGTAATGATAGAACAATGATGCCATATGTGTGCTGTACTCTGTCTGTGTGTGTGTGTGTGTGTGTGTGTGTGTGTGTGCAGTGATGAATCTCTCACTGTGACAGTAGGGCCGGCAGCAGCGAATGTCCTTCTGGTTGGTACACATAGCGTCGTGCGCTCACACAAACACACAGACTCTCTCTCCCTCACACACACACACACACACAGATGGAGCGGGGCTCAGTAATGGATCACCTCTGTCTGCACACAATCCAGCACAAATAATGATGAACCACCCCTGCATTAAACTATTTTACACAATGCTCAATTCATTACTCCCTCCTCTCTCTCTCTCTCACTCTGTGTGTGTGTGTGTGTGTGTGTGTGTGTGTGTGTAGTAAAGGAACTAGTAAAGGAGAAATAAAGGGAAGATTTCCTCCCTTTGTCAATAGAATCAGTTTTTATCCATTAGTATAAGACATAGGATATTAGGGAGAGAGGAGAGGGGGGAGTGGGTGAGGGAGTGGGTGAGGGAGTGGGTGAGGGAGTGGGTGAGGGAGTGGGGGGGGCAGTACTGCGAGAGGGATGGATATGGTCTCAGATCAGGTTAAAGTCTCTGCAGCTGAAAAAAGTAACACCACCTTTACAGCAGTGATGTCAGAGACAGCAGTGATGGCACAGAGGCAGCGGGGATGTCAGAGACAGCAGGGATGTCACAGAGGCAGGAGTGATGTCACAGAGACAACAGTGATGGCACAGAGACAGCAGGGATGTCAGAGACAGCAGTGATGGCAGAGACAGGAGGGGAGTCATCGGGGGGGGGGGGGGGTGAGGGAGTGGGGGGGGCAGTACTGCGAGAGGGATGGATATGGTCTCAGATCAGGTTAAAGTCTCTGCAGCTGAAAAAAGTAACACCAGCTTTACAGCAGTGATGTCAGAGAGGCAGCAGTGATGACAGAGACAGCAGTGATGGCACAGAGACAGCAGGGATGTCAGAGACAGCAGTGATGTCACAGAGGCAGCAGGGATGGCAGAGACAGCAGGGATGTCACAGAGACAGAGGTGATGTCAGAGGTATGATGTCAGAGGTAGAGTTTTTCTGATTGGACAAATGGAAGCTGACGTCACTGGTTGTTATGACACAAAGGCACAAAACATATTTGACCCCAATGTCATTGATTGTTCCATCAGGTGGGGCGGGGGCAGAACCTGGACAGAGCATCATAGAGTTTAGAATGAACAGTTGATGGGATCCCCAATCAGCATAGGACGACAGAAGAAGGTGGAGCTAGGGCTAGAAACACTGACCTTCTTCCTGTAAGGCAAAAGCACCAACCACACTCCACCGTGTGGCACTTGATGAAAAGATCTTCTAAATGTTTACCTGAACATTAACCAGACTAACTACAGTCATTGACCTGGTCCTAACAACACACGTCGCCACAAGGACAAGACAACCGCACCATACTTTGTCCTCACACCCACAGCGTTTTATCTAAATACCTGTTCGTGCGTCACTTCACTCCGTGCAGAAAGTAGAGATGGAGTCGTTATGGATTTGAACAAAGTGATCCCTGGGCAGAGTGGGACGAGTGGAGAGAGGGGGGGGGACTGAGGGAGGGGGGTTAATGTGCTGCAGACAGATGTTTAATAATAATGACCAAACACACACTCACACCCCCACCCCTCCACACACACACACACACACACACACGAGCCCCAACACATCATTACTGATGGTCGACACACAGTAACCATTCACGGACGGACACACTCGCTGATGTCACCATAGGCGTGTGTGTTTCTGTGTGTGTGTGGGTGTGTGTTTCTGTGTGTGTGTCTTTATGACCACTGCTGGCCACAGCACATATGGCCCTCATTTAGAAACAATGGCCACCGAGAATGACAAGGTGGATGAGCTTCCTGACTGTGAGAGACGACGAGAAACAAGTAAATGACACGCCCCGTATGGAGACACGAGGACGAGAGACAGACAGACACATGACGAGGGGGAGAGAGGGAGAAGTACAATGACTAGAACTAGACAGAGGTGAGTTGTACTCAGACCTATGCTTACACATACACACACTGATATATATATATATATATATATATATATATGTATATATATTTATAAATATATATATATATATATATATAAATATATATATATATAT